GCCAGCTAGCTGACGACCTCCAAGAAAAAAGAAAAAAGAAGAAAAAAAAAAGACCTTCCCCCCCCCCCAAAAAAAAAGTCCTCCCAAAGGGGCTCCCTAACAGTTTTTTTTCCTACACTCAGCTGCTCCCCCTCACCATAGGCATTTTTTCAAGTTTTTTTGAGGAATCCATTGACATATTGTGCATTGGAACCCTTTCCCATACATCAACAATCAACAATAATTATTTTATCACACCAAAATTGGAAAAATGATTAAATTTTAATATCTGTCTTTTGGGCTTTAAAACAAAATACACTAGCTGGGGATCGATCCCGATACCTTCCACTTACTCGGCGGTTGCTTATCCAAGAGCCCACTTTGCCTCACTGCGATTACCTGGTTCACTTTTAGTTCTTAACACTGTGCATTTAGTTGTTAACACTTTCAGCTAGCTGACGACAGGCGCAGCTACCCCCTAAAGGCAGACGCGGATCCATGGGGCCGGGAGGGCCTCCCCCCCCCCCCCCCCCGCAAAAAAAGAGAGAGAGAGAGAAGGAAAAAAAGGGAAAGAGAAAGAGGAGAGAAAGGGAAAGAAAGAAGAAGGGGAAAAAAGGGGGGAAGAAGCAGATCATTAAGGGCCGAAAGGGTCTTGGCTACCAGCTGTCACCCCCCCCCCCCCCATTACAAAATAAGAGAGAATGACGAAAAGGGAAAGAAAAAGGAAAAGAAGAGATAAAGGGAGGGGAAAAGGCAGAGGCAAAGGCCTTTCTCCGCGATCTTGGGGGGTAGTGAGCACCTTTTTTGTTTGGCCCTCGAAATGTTAACAATTTGCACCAACCCCCCCCCCCCCCCCCCCCAATCCCCCTACTAGATCCGCCACTGCCTGTAGTTTCATCCCTAGCTAGCTGGTTAAGCTGAATATGGGTTATCTAGTCGTTTCATTCATTAAGTATAATTATACTTGTATCAGGGATATGAGAGTATATCCCTGTTTGTTTTGACTATGTATACGTGTGGACTAGAGTACGGACATTCGGTGCGGCAGGCGGACTATTGGTGCGAGACCTCTTCAGCACAGATTGTCCGTCAGACATTTGAGGCGCGCATGGAATGACCGACACGGACATTCTGCGCGGATAAAATCCGCACCGATCGTCCGCTCTCGATCGATCTCTAATAGTCGGACGATCGGTGCGGGTTACATTCTACGCGGTCACACCGGCTGCCGGCTTACTGATTTGGGGGGGGGGGGGGGGACAAATAAAATTCAAACGTGGTTTATTTCTAATTCGATACCATTTATTTACAAATGTTGCTGAAATGACATGATTTTCCCGTATTTTTTTAGAGCTCTTTCGACATTTGTTATGCCAGAAGCGGCACTCCCGGGGGGGGGGGGGGGACCCCACTTGTTCATGTTCCCCCAAAGTGCCTCTTCCTACATAGGACAAGTGCCCATTTTATTTTCTAATAACTGTCATTTTCCTCTCTTTTCATCTCTGATGTGTACCTCTTTTCAGGTTCCAAAAATTCCCCTTTCACCTCTGATATTGCCCTTTGACTCGGGACCCTTTTCCTATTTAATAAGTGCACTTTTTCCTTCTTAAAAAGAAGCTCACTTCCCTTTCTTTATGCCACTTTTCTGATAGGTGCTCCTTTTATTTTGACACGTCGGACCCTTTTCCTTTGTTATATGAGCCCCTATCCCTTTTAAAAATGCCACTTTTATTATGATAAATGCCTTTATTAAAATCTGATGGGTGCTGTTTTCCTTTAACAGATTCCCCATTTCCATTCTCTTCTCACAGGTGCCCTTTTTCATCTCTGTTGAGTGTCCTTTTCAGGTGCAAGAAGTGCCATTTCACGTCTGATAATTGCCCTTTTTACTTTGACACGAGCACCTTTTCTTTTCTAATAACTGTCCTTTTCCCTTGTCATAAGTGCCTAGGCCTACTTTTCCTTTCTCTATAGCATGCACCCCTAATTCGAGGCAATTAGAGCCCCCTTTTCTATTATTTTCCCTATAAATCGCATTTATAGATGTTCTATTTATGATACTTATCTATAAAAAATCAGTCTTGTTTTCATTAGATTGTGTTTAATACTTATCAGAATTTGTTTTTTGTTTTCTTTATAAGATGTAATTTCTCGGCGCGCTGGGACCTCACAAATCTTTAAATAGTTTGCTTGCTCGCTTCGCTCGCTCGAACATGAATATTAAGACCATCACGCCCAATTGCAAAGTATGTTGCTTACCTTGTATCACGTAAAAAAAGAAACACATATTGATGCCATCCCTGGTCTGTAGTATAATCACAATCGTGATGATGTAGGGGTATATATGTTTTGTTTATGTAAGTGCTTCTTTTTTTTCTCCAGAAAGTGCCCTTTTTTGTTGGTGCCCCCCTCCTATTTTGGAAGACGCACCGCCGCCCCTGCATTATTATTTTTTCTTTCCTCTTTACCGTTTTATTTTAATTTACATATTTCATATTTCATATATATTTACATCAATTTACATTTCAACATAATAAAAAAAAAAAGTAATTAAATAAATAGTTAAAACCTTAACATTTCTTGAAAAAAAATGTCCTTGTGTTTCGTCAATAAAAAAACTTTGTTTATTGGTAATATCGTAGTTTTAATTTGAAATTAAAGAACAGACTTTTACTATTGTATCCTTTACCATCACACCGAAGTTTGATATACAGTATGTATATTATGTATTGTCATAAAATTAACATGAAGTTTATCACAAAGTTTACCTTTTTTCAATAAAATAACCTATAACTAATGCTTTTCCATTAATATTTATTTGTTCATGAAAGTAATTATAATATAAGTTTTCAATCATCTTCCAAAAAACTCTAACCTTGTTACATTTTAACAAGACATAAAAAGTAGTTTATGTTTCTTTACATGTATCACACTGGTCATTTTCCATTATACGCCATTTGCATAAATTATGTTTTGATGGAAACATATTACGCCATATTTCAAAAATTAACTTGCTTTTCCTATATTTCCTATTTGTTGAAATTTAAAATTGAATACTTTCTGCCAATTAAAAGAAACTGGTAATTTCAAGTAATATTCCCAGGAACGTGTAACATTTGGTTTTTGAAGTTTTTCTTTCCGAAGGGATAAATAATAATGTTTCGTCTTGAAACTAGATATATCAACAAAATCTCCTGTAGCTACTTCGATTAAATTTAAATCGTTTAGTTTACTACTTAATTGAACATTCTTTAGAACGTATAATTTATTTAACCAAAAGCATGGGAAACATTTCTTCAATTATGCGTATTCGAAGCTATAGTCTTACTAGTGAGAATGAAATGAAGGGAAGATCTCTCGAACATACTTTGTCTTCAGTATCAGTGTCGAGGAGTTTTTTTTTTTTGGGGGGGGGGGGGGGCTGGCTGCATTGTAGGTTCGACACCCCTACTAATTTAGACCAAATTTGAGGTCAAAAATTTAATGCAGGATGACATATTGTTCCTTTTTTTTAACCAAAACATTATTCACTTTAAACATTGCACATTTAAGGGGTTTTGTTTGACCAGCACATAGGCTATGACTATTTTTTACCAAACAAATATTTCCTCTTTTTGGCTAATTCAATACAAATAGACATGTAAATATAATTGTGTGATTTGTATTGTACCTATTTGGCTTGGTAAATCAATGAAATAACAAATCCAAACAAAACAATCCATAGGCCTAATAAACCAAGATTTGATGACTTACTTTCTATTGGTTGTCGGACAATTCTTTGACATTGACGTGGAAATTTCGGCTGACAAATTGGGATTGGGGCACTTCTTTACCTTCTTCTTCCGTTTTCTTCTTCATCTTCTTGTCAATTCTTCTTCTTCTTCTTCTTTTTCTTCTTCTTCTTTTTCTTTTTCTTCTTTTTCTTCTTCTTCTTCTTCTTCTTCTTCTTGTTTTTCTTTTTCTTCTTCTTTTTCTTCTTTTTCTTCTTCTTGTTGTTGTTCTTCTTCTTTTGTCTTCTTCTATACTCCTTCTTTTTCTTTTTTCTATTTTGTTTTAACTTTAGTTTAACTTTAGTTCTTCTTCTTCTTCTTTAATCGGAGGGCACACTAAATCCCTGGAATCCAGTGCATGTTGACTTCTGGGTTTTGTCCCTCCTCTCCTCGATCGATCGACCTAAAGCCATTTTGTTTAGTATTGATATCTCTTTGGATATTTGTTCCCAGCTCAGAATTGCAAGAGCCTATATGCTAAATTCAAGAGTTGATTTGCTCTAAGTGAGTACGGTATGTGGATAAACATTTTCTTTTTCTTCTTCTTTTTCTTCTTTTTCTTCTTCTTGTTGTTGTTCTTCTTCTTTTGTCTTCTTCTATACTCCTTCTTTTTCTTTTTTCTATTTTGTTTTAACTTTAGTTTAACTTTAGTTCTTCTTCTTCTTCTTTAATCGGAGGGCACACTAAATCCCTGGAATCCAGTGCATGTTGACTTCTGGGTTTTGTCCCTCCTCTCCTCGATCGATCGACCTAAAGCCATTTTGTTTAGTATTGATATCTCTTTGGATATTTGTTCCCAGCTCAGAATTGCAAGAGCCTATATGCTAAATTCAAGAGTTGATTTGCTCTAAGTGAGTACGGTATGTGGATAAACATTTTCTTTTTCTTCCAGGAGACATTGTGCAATTAAATGCATTGTTTATACACTGGCAGTCGATGATAGAACAAAAAGTACCCCCCCCCTCCCCGGGCTCGACCCCCCGGGACCCCCCCCCCCCCTCAACTAGTGAAGTAACATGATATGCCATATCTCCCGGGATATCTACAATTTCAAGGTACCAACCCCAAGTTAGTGATGCAGTAATGTTTTAATATTATTCATTCATTTTTCTGTTTTGCCAATAATTCAACGAGGACAATAATTATTGAGTGGTAAAGACCATTAATTTTGTTTAGAGCAATCAATCAAATCAGTGCACGTGCGTAGAAAGTCAATGGAATCGGACATTTTGTACACATTGTGAATACTGCATTTACTAGTCTATACCCGGAAGTAATCAGGCACAGAGAGAGACAGCGCGAATGTAAAGTTGTATGGATTACGATGAAAATAAGGAAATGGACTCTTGACAAAGCAGTAACTACAGCAGACTATTTTTAGATGAGAAAGGATCCAGTAATGCTATATCATTTCTGATTTAAAATTTTGCTTGGAATTGCGGGACAATGGCCAGGCAAGGTACAATAGGCGGCGGTTATACGACAGTTTTTCCAAGTTCAACATCTTCATCAAAGTATGACGGTAAGGAAGATGTGTAAATCATTGGGGGAAACTCGCTCACTGTGTGATGAACGGCATGCATGCATGGGGATGGGGCCGGGTTGATGGACGGACTGTTCGTTTTGTATTCGCTGTAGGCCTAGGCCTATCTATCATGTTGTTGTTGTTGTGTTTTGAGTTATTGGCGATTAGTCAGTGATTTGACTATTGTCGCCAAATTACTTTACGGTATGTGTATGGATATGGTAGCTCAGCCCAGGCAAACCTTTGTCTTTGGTTCGGCTGTAGAAAGGAACCTATAGGGTAACATAAGTAGCCCTATCTGTTAGACTGTATACAAGGTACAGGTTATGTATGCAGAGTTAATAAAACCTTGTCCGTCTGACTGTCGACCACTAACAAATCTGAATGTGAGTGGCGTGAATGTCTTGCCTCTTGCTCTTGGGTAGTCGACTTGCCATGCTCGCAGAACAGCTTTAAATTATAGTTTGTCCATGGCAGTATATGGGATTTGTCATGTCGTGTGCGATGTTATTTACTGTATTACACATGGTTCTGAGAAGACAAATGACGATGAATAATCCTTGAAGATGAAGTGTAGAATGTGACAAAATGTTTTGCGCTTTAGTGTACTTTCGCACCGTACGACTAAAAGTGATAGCGTGCAGAGAGAAGGCCCATTTTAAAGCGTCTCTGCTATGCCTGATACATATAAAAATCACAATTTCTGCATTGAAATCAGTCTTTCCTTTGCATTTTATTTAATGAAATCACATTTTTACAGCACCCAGTTCTAAACTTCACGCCAAATGTAACAATTCACCCCGCTCTTTGAAAAATCATGAAAAAGTTACATAATGTAGACTCTACAAAAGATAAGTCTTTAAAATGTGTGGATTTAAAGGATATACCCCAAAACTATGAAAATAATCATGAGAGTCTGTAATTTTAGAAAAAGGATAGCAATCAAAATTGGACAATGGATACTGTGCTATACATGTACGTGCAAAGATTCCATATGATAACATAACATCTTTATCATCTGAATCCATCTTAATTTTCACATTCCCACTGAGTCTGTGGGGGAATACAGGAGGGCAGGGGGTGGTTGTCCATTCATGATTTATCTCCCTCCCATGAAAGGGGGAAAGGGGGGAAGAGGAATAGAATTGAGAGGAAAGAGATGGAAGAACGAAAGAGAAAATGAAGAACGAGATACAGGGCAGAGAAGTAGGGGGATGCATTGTTGCGTTTCAGGTCTCAACACATTCTGGATCATGTATTGGAACCCTTATATTTCAGGGACAAAGGGGCATGTTTCCACAAAAGTACATATAAATTTACGATTAGATATAGATTGTACTGCCTAATAGAACTGACTAAAGCCCAAGGAACTACACATACACATTCATCAGTATGTGGGACAGTGTGAATATCAGGGAAAAAATTAATATTTATTTTTTTGGGGCTACTTTTCAAGCTTGCCTGCATGAAATTAACACTCTAAAATTTGTTTTGCATTGAAATCTATGCAAATTTATAGGGGCTCTTTTCTGATTTTCGGGGGCTCTTTTGAGCATTTCGGGGGCTAATTCGCCCCGAGCCCCCGTGTATTTTTTTCACTGGTGAATATATGTGTCCATTCACCCACACCAGAATTTTTGGGGGAATTTACTAATTCACAAGAATGTATGAAAAACTTATTTCTAGTTTTCAAAGCTAGTGAATTATTTCTTAAATGTTTATATGAAGGAGTCATATGATAACCAACATTGTGGTCATGTACATGTATTACCTGTGTCCAGTTTGATCCATCCAGTTTGTTCAGTAATTCTAACAATGATATGAATTTGGATTATTACAGTAATCAATATATTGTTATTCTGTTCAGCAGCCTCATACTTCAAGAACATGTACCCATAATGTAAATTCCACGGTCAACTTTCATTTTGCTTGATTAGCAAAAATATATTAGTCAGGAAACATTACATTATCAACTTACATTTCGTTTGCAATAGTTACTTGCAAGCCTACAGGGTTTTCAATTTGTTTGCAAAGAGTACATACTGGACAGCAATACATTTTATCTTTTCAATAGTCGATTAGGAAACAATGGTGTGCATATTTTGAATGACAGCTGAATAGTTATTTTCTTATTGTACTTGAGTTTGAAGGCGACATCTAGGCTAAACCTCTGAAATTACTCTTGTGGTATATGCAGTGGCATTCTATTTTCTGTGAGTGCAATTAGATTAAATAGCCTAAAAATGTGATTAACCTAATTCTCATGATCCTCCCCAATTTTGAGTATTGAATCTGGCAATGGTGACTTCCTGTTTTGTGATAATAAATAGTTTGTCAGATTTGTTCACTTCAGATAATTCCAACGTACTCACTCTTCTGCTTTTGTGTACACTGTGCGCATGTGTGATGTATTTTGTTTTGTTCAAAGTGGAGAAAAGAAGCCAAAATGAGTACATTGTGCAAGTAGCCAGAAATTATAACAATAACAAAATTACAATGTTTATTGAAGAATAGTAATTACAATTTGTATGGAAGCATATAATTGTGAACTACCAAACCAAATTGGATTCAGAAATATAAAGTGGACTTTTATTCTGGCAGCTTGCCTCCTTCATGTACATGTATGTGTACCTTGTGCATTGCATCACCAATATCTGTGCTTAGCGGGGAGCTGAACTGGGTCAATTCACATGAGTGGTCCAGGCCTGATAAAAACCCGATTTAAATCGGTTTCCCGATTTTTTCCCGATTTTTTTTTTTCTTCCCGATTTAAAAAAAAAAAAAAAAAAAAAAAAAAAAAAAAAAAAAAAAAAAAATCATTTTTTTTTTTTTTTTTTAAATTTTTTTTTTACCAATTTTTTTCCTTCCCTATTTTATCCTGATTTTCCCGATTTCCCTCTTATTATCTCTATTCTTCCCTATTTTCCCCATAATTTTCCCAAGTTTGTCTCAATTTTCTTACTCGAAAGGGTGAATGTTGTTAGATGCCATTTTTTCCCCGCGAATCGTCTTTTTTTTTTTTTTACTCAAGGGGGGCGTGGTTGAGGGGAAAACAAAAAACCTATTTTTTTTTTAGTGCTCACTATCACCCCTGGTGGTCGTACAGCTTTGGCATTAAACATATTTGTTGATATTAATGAGGTTTGTGTGGTATTTAAAGTTAAACCACCAATTGTATCTACTGTATATATAAACAAGCCAGTGTAAATACTCTTGAAATTGAAAGTGTACATCAATATTATTTATCATAGGGTTGAGTCATGCATCATTGTAAACAATGAAAAGCTATTTTGGCAAAAAAAATCTGTCATGCAAAAAACCTATATTATTTTGTTGTTCCCAAAGGCCTATTCATAAATGTAACAATACTGTGAAGGATTGTCTATAGTATCCTGAGTAATTTTACAATATAATTTCATTTGTGTGTAATTGGGTATTTCCCATATAGTGGGCATCCAAAGAAAATATGTTATCAAAACATTTGTCTTAAAATGGCTACAAATGTAGGTGATTATATATTTTTGAAAAGCTTTGTTCTTGTTGAGTGCCTTCCTTCCTCCATCCTTTTAGAAACAATGGTAAGTCACTAAAGTCAGTAACACTTTCTGTACTGGTTCTCAGAACTATACACTAGAGATTACTTCAGGGGCTGTTACATGTTGTGAGCATGTTTATCAGTTCATTGATCAAATTATTATTGGAAGAAGTTCTTTTGAAAATTTGGATACTTGTGAGAGATTTTTTTCTTGAAAAAAGAAGAAGAGTATAATAGAGATGCCTGCCTGTATGGATACAAGTATCAGAGCATGGACATTAAATAATATAATTGCAAACAATTACAAAGAACTTAAAGAAGTTTTATATTACAAGGACCAACAAAAACAAAAAACTTCAGAACTGAACATTCATGTACAATACATGTACCGATAGTCATTTTTGCATGGGATCCATAGTCTTTATCTGTATTTAATGGTTCTTTTTCTTTTGGGAAAGAGGTGAATGCATGTAGGTTTGGAGAGTACTCATGACTTACTCACTTATTATTTTAAAAAAGAATGTTAATACGTGTAACTGTAGTTCCTGAAATTGGTCAACTCCTTGTTCTACATGTACATGTATACACTGTTCATCCAAATAATCAAAATAACAAGGATCTTTTCTCGAATAGCTCACTTTTTTTTAAATCTCTTCTTTATCTCTTTATGTGTTCATACAATTGACTCTCTAGAGCTATGATTATTTTGAAAACTACTTCCCTTTCAGAGCAAAGAATAAAATACATTTCATGTTGCCTACTTCCTGTTTTAATCTTGATGGAAATATTGTTTCAGGTGATATTACGCCGTCTTGTGGATGGTACTATACATACAGATGAACAGTACATACATGTACTGGTACATGATTGAATTTATAGTACAATGTATGCTCATCACCTGAAGGCCCCGAAATGTCCCAGCATGTATAGAGGTGATGGTTAGGGCTTGATTAGACAAGAGTGAAATGTCAGAGAGACAAGCGAGCTGGAAATAAGAATGGAGCAGCAATCACAAAGCAAGCGGGAATGACATTTCAAGGAGGTCAGGTTAGGATAGGAAAGAGGGAGAAGAGAGCGTCGATCTTCACCTGGAGAATGTTTGTCAAAGATTACAAAACGGAGGTTTACATGTATGTACAACTGTATGATAGCTTGGAGATAAAGCAGTTTAGTGATGTGACTTGGAGTTTCACAGGTTTAAAACCAAGTCCCTTGGATAGGACCCGAAGCCATACATTGTAGATCCTTTTAGCTGTTTTACCCACATGTTGCTAATCACCAGTCAAGGTCAATTATTGGAGAAATATCTGCTGTTACTTGCCAAAGGATTTGAAACGACCTTTCTTTGTCTTTGTAAACTAATTAATGGCATCAACTGGCATTCATTCACTGACGGTCATATGAAATCAAATTAAAGATCATTTCCTTGACTTTCATGTTAAACTGCATTCTAGTGTTGTCAACAATTGTGATAGTTTACTGCATACCCTTCCCCTCCCTCTGCCCCTCTCCCGATCAGTAGCGGCATGTGAACTTATCAGGGTCATCATTCCTCAGTCAAGCACTACAAACAGAAGGCCTGTCTCCATCAGATCGAGATTGCCAAATAGCCTGCTATTTCTGATTTGGGAAATAATCCTGAAGTTACAAATCGCGTCTTCATCAGCTTGATTTTGAGCTCAAGATATTTTGCTCAGCGTTCATGCATAGTCCGAGTCTTCGGGCTGGTAAAGACGCACCGAGCAAATAGCCGGATATTTTGCAAACTAGCCCAAGATATCTTGGGATGATTTTCTCGACCAAATATCCCGCTAAATGCAACTTCTGGCTGATGATGACGCAAATTAACTGGATAATTTGCGATCAGGATAGTTCAAATAGCAGAATATTTAGCAACCTCGAGCTGATGAAAACAGAAAGCCATGTACTGTAACAAGTAGCTGGTCCAAACATATGAGTAGGGTTTGACTGAAGTAGATTCTGCTTGTGAAGGTGTTTGAGTCTGTCTTCCATCATTCTCAGAGGTTTAATGGAAGAATGACAAGAAGGCATGCATGGTTGGAGCAGTCTCTGATCAGATGCCAACATGAATATCTGTTCATACTTGCATATGATATGGTGTAGCTGTGCAATACGGAGGCATTAGGGTCTGTCTTCTGTCACCTACAAACTGTACATAAGGCCATGTAAACAAATATGCATGTTTAGCGTCCCTGCCCACTTCCTTTTTGGGGCCGCCTCTTATTTTTTTATTTATTAAAAAAAAAAAACATGAAAAACACTGCTAAAATGGATTTATTTCTGATTTAAAAAAATATCTTGAAAAGTAGCCTGACTGTTAGTGTTAGGGAAAATGTACCGAATGGCCATTTTGAGCGGCCATTTTGAAAGAAGAAAAAAAAAAAAAGGGCCTCCTCCTTCCTATTTTTCGAAAAAACAGGACGCTAAATATGTTTTGTTTTTTATTTGGCCTAATGCCTCGGTCACACCACCGATAACCATGACAGACTAACAAAAGACCGAACAAAAAGTTACATTTCCCCAAATGGCCAAGAATCATTCAGCAATAGAGTCCATTTGTTGGTGTGATTGTGGTATAATAGAAATGAAAAAATACAGGAGGCACAGGTATTGTTAAAGAGAGGTTTTAATAAGATGCGGTATATGTTGCAAAGTTATCTTGGATGATTGTTGGATCTGTTCATATTGTATATCTTGGAACACTTTAAAGATAAGTTCATATGCTACAGGTAGATACAGTGTATGAATGCTTGTGTAGAGAGGATACATGGAGTACTGATGTGATGGTGTGGATGTGTCTTTGAAAAGAGTCTCTTGTCTGGTAAAGCAAAGGCAATAGTTCTTCCACATGAGAAATTCTGTTATTGGAGCATAATTTCCAATCAATACAGTGTTTACTTGAATTTGAAATATATGTAAATGTACTGGTATGCTGCATTCTTGTGAATAGATATTTAGATTATGAACATGATGTGGATAAATTGCATGCATGCACAGTCTTGTTAGCTATATAAGGTTCAAGCACTCCGGCAAGCAATTTCAAACAAATTATGCAGTTTATATGCCTGAACTTGGCAAGCAGAAAACTGGTTGACATTAATCAATAATGGTAGTCTCAGTTACAGGCTGTTAGAGATTTATCTTCCTCATATGAGTGGCATGGCTCATATCCATTCATATGAAACAAAAGAATACATGTGCATGTACTTGTATGGTATAATAAAGCTCAACAATAACTCACATATAATAAAGGTAAAGCAAAAAAAGGCCTACACATGAGATCCATATTGTAAAAAATAAAAGTTAAAAAGGATCTCATTTGAGAGAGGGGTGAGCAGTCATGCACTATTCTCATTGTATGTGATGCTCATGAGCCCAGTTACCCTGATGCTTGATGGAGGTCTTGTTCCAAATTAAGCAGTCACCTTTGTTTGCTAATTCTATACAGCATTTTGTGGCACATATGCATGTACAATAATTTCTTTCATGTTTATTTGACATTCATTTATTCATGCATTATTAATTATCATGTAGCTATAATTTTTTGTACAACATTCATACCAATATGTTTGACAATAATATATTCTTTTCTCTCTTATCTCTCTTCTTTTTATCCAGATAATGAGCCAGAGATCCAGTGGAAGTCACACTGTAAGTATGCTACAGTACATGTACATGAACTCATAAAAGTTTACTTTCCACTTCAAAGCTAACTGATGTGAATAGATTGAGATATAAAAGTTTATGATGGTCATTTATGATACCAGCAGAATTGAGAAAAGAAAGAGAAAGAAGAAAAGAAAAGAAAATGGTAGTGAGAGAGATCAAAGAGTGAAACTGTTATGAGAGACAAATGAAGAAGGGGGAAAAAGTGTTTGCTTTAAAAAAATATTGATTAAAACAAAAAAATATTGTTCTGAAGAAATGGCAGCTTCCTATTTCTTTACATCTTTTTTTCCTGCTCAGTCTCAGAGTCTACACATTTTCTGACAAATAGTATTTGACAGATTTAAATTTATTCATAATTATTTGATATTATAGAATCGTCTCGTGATTGTCTCGTACATAGACTACATGCATATTTCGGGGGATTTTTACACAAACTTATACAATACATATGTACAAGGAAGTCCTTGGATAGTCTACATGTTTGAGAGCAAGTGGTTATATTGGTCCTTGTCGAGAGAAAGTGTTTAAAGTTTTTTCTACGTTACATGGAGATGTTTCAATAGGTGATTCCAGAGATCCATTTCATTATAAGAGGTCCATGTTTACCAGGCATTAGTCGGTATTGAGCCTTAACACATGTACACTGTATAGCTATTAATTTAATGTGACTCTAATTGTTCTATGGGGGAATGTTTAACAGTTGCAAGTTATTGGTCCATGAATATACCCGACTATATACTGGAAATGTTCATCATGTCTTGGACAGTTTTGGACCTACCACTGAATCACGTCAAGCTTGACAGAAATGATATTTGTTCTTCTTTGTGTATTGGAAGAATATGATTGGATCATCTGCTTGTACATGTAGATAAAGCATGCTTTCGTTTGAAAGGGGGGGGGGGGGGGTAACTCCAGTTATTAAGTTACTTACATGTATAACATTATTATTTAGAAGTATATGAACGGAGAGAGAGATAAAGGTTTGGGGTAGGGTTATAACTTCAAGAGTAATAAGTTTAATAGCTTACAGCTTTTCATTTCCTACTTCTATGTTTTATTACATTTTCAAAATCAATAAAAATACTAAGTATTTCCTTGTCAACATCCCCAATATTTATGTATTTATTTGAAGGACACTTGGCTAATAAACTAAGAGTATGTTTACTTTTCAAGGTACAATGCACTAGTGATTCCACTGTGTGTGTTTATGATCAGTTTCCTCTTACAGTAGCACATGCATCCTTATAAATATATTTCGTTTTGTCATTTGGATAAATATATTTTATGCCTGGGCTACTTCCTTATTGCGCTGAATATGGCAGTGGTACATGTACAGTATCATGTATATCTGTGTTTACATTACAATATTTACCTTATTGAGCAGATGTTTCTACTATTAGTGTGCATGTTTACATGTATCTAGAGTATTCTGCTTTGTACTTTTAAAGTATGCAATTGATATGGAACAAGAATTAAACACTCAGTTTCACAGTGTAATGCTATAACATTTATTAAAGCACTTTAGCATGATGGATGTTATTTCTCTGAGTCTTACTCAAATTTTGCCCAGCTATTGGCAAATTTTTTCAAGTTGTGGTTAAAGGAAATAACCTTGTAACTCTTGTTATTCAAAGAAACCACTATTCATTTCACTTAAAGGGATAGTTGAGTTCTGTTTTCAGAATGCAAATGCCTTCAAAGTGCATGGTTATTTTTCTTATTCTTATCTATGACATTTACAGTGTATAGTGCCCTTTTAGAACCTAAAATTGCTATGAAGGTAATTTTAGACCCCAAAATGTGTGAAATTTAGCCAATCATACCAATTCAGCTCCACTTTCAAAAATACACTGTGACGGTTAATTAATTATTTAATTAAAAATAACAATGCATGAGCAAGCTAATTGTGGGTAATATAAGTGGTAAATATATTTATGGTGGTACACAAGTATTAGAAATCATTATATTTCAGCCATTTCTGAACCGATTTTGATCAAACAAAGATGATTTTGTCATTTAAATATTATGTTCTTTCAAATTTGACCCTCAGTTTTTCATGATCTCACCAAATTTTTTTTTTGTGTAGCGCCCTCTGCAACAGAAATCAACTATCCCTTTAATCTGATGTCTAATCAGTAACATAGGCTCAACGTCCTTCATGGCGAGGCTCTCTCTCTTTGATTTTAAAGCAGTGGCCATTTTGATATGAATCTCAACCCTGTTCAGTGGAGAGAGGTGGTTAATTAGTTGAAATCTCTCTCACTCTTGGATTCTGCCGACTGATGCCATTGCATTACGACGTTGCATTACGACAGCCTCAAATATGCATTAGACTGATTGCTCCCCTTTGTCATACTTAATTTTCGGGCCCCTGGGCAATTATCTCGTGGTCGGGGGACAGTACTTTATTGGCATTTACCCGTGCAAAAGGCTCAATTCATCCAAGGGTTCACAACCGTTTGAGAAAATGGCGCATTTCACGGTAAAGTATATATGCAGGAAATTTCCACACTACTTTATTTGATTTAATTGAAATGATGAGGCAAGTGAAAAATCACTGCATTAGAGCAGTGCCTGCTCAGTTACATACCCATTCTGATTGTGACTTGTCTTTAGAACTACACATATAATTGTATATCATTGTAGTGATTAAACTTTAGTGCAATTTATTCTTTGTGAATATGATTTATTTTTCTATAAATTCAACACATTTTTTAAATATAAAAACTGTACCAATGAACGATATAAATGACAAACTATTATACATTTCAAAATCATTATTAATGAAATATATCAATTATTAGTGTTTATTTGGTTTTTAACTTAGTTTCAAATGCTTCAAGATTCACTTGTTAAATTGAAAATATTTCAAGGAATGTTTTGAAAATCACAAAGTTTATAGTCTAAATGAAGTTTCATCCATCGTTTTTTTTCATTTTCTACAACCATTTGATTTTGGTGAAATAAATTGCTTATACATGTACATGTAAATCTGAAAGAGGATTTTCTCATCAAAATTTCAGATGTTCTGTTATAGTGTCCCGTACAGCTCATCATAAAGGAGTTCATCAAGTCGTCTTCAGAAATAGTAAAAATATGCTTCCCCATTATAATATATTTGTACACTATGCCAAGCTAAGATACAATATTTCACAATTGTTATTCAAACAGTACTCATTATAATATGCATAGACAAGCAACACCAGACAAAGGGTCATGTGACTGAGCACGGCATCATGTGAATATCATTAAGGCGTCTAGGGGTCATTGAGGGGCAAGTCTTGATGGAGCCACCATTCCCTTGTCTGTCTTTCTCCTCCTCGATGATCGTTTGCCCCCTTCCCTCATCCATAAATGCATGGATTCTCATCTTATTGAACTGTGCATGAGGTACATGGCCATTTAGCCTTCTTTCCAGGTCTACATTATTTTTTTTTCTGTAAGCATTTAGTGGGAGAAATTTAATTTGCAGTTAAAAAACAATTTCATGTTTTGTGAGTTTGGGCTTCATTCCATAGTCCATACCCTGTATATGTAGTTAATTATTTTTGACGAATGAAATCTGCTAAGTATCAATCAGCCAGTCAAGGAACAAACCATTTAGTACCAAAAAGCAATAAATCATTGAATATGACAAGCACACAATCTCCCAATCCATTGATCAGTCAAACTAATCAATACATAACAGTTAGTTCATTGCCTAACTAATATATCAATCAATGAAGTAATGAAGGACAAATTTCATCATTTAATGATTTGATCATTCAATCAGTCAATCGATCAATCAATGAACATGTATCTATCATTCCACCGATCAGCAAATAATTCAGATCAAAACTCAATTCAATTATGAAGCAGTCTCATGTTGTCTAGTGCAATTAAGACCACCACATAATGAACTTTTGCAAACATTAGTATTAATGAGTTCTATTTTCACAAAATAGACTCGATTATAAAATTTAACTTGTTCATGATTACAGTTTGCCCTCTGTATTTGCATTATGTGATTATTTACATTTTGAAGTTCCCATGTTTTGGTGTGTTTTTTTACCAACATACACGTAGCGTTCCTTTTTAGGGTCTGGTTACGTGAAAACTATCTCATGCTTGCTTTTCCACACATATGTGATTACACGTCCCATGATCATGAAATAAGTTTGAGATTGCCCCAAGACCCGAGGTAAATATCTCTGATTAATTTGATTTCGCATCGCGACGGAGCGGTCGAGGGGGCCGTGATAGGTGCATGGCCGAGAAGGATAACGGAGATGTCATTGTGTAGCCAGAAATGATGAGATTACAGCATGCTTGGGAGGTGGGCAAAAACATGAAAATTATCATCGGTACGCAGGCTGCTCTTAACTTGACCTTAATGTATGCTTGTCCTTTAATATAAGTTATATTAAAGCCCCACTGAACTACTTATAGCTACATGCACTTGCGCCCTCTATATAGCAAAAAATGCCTAATAGGTGCCTGTTGGTCCCACATGATCGCCTTTTTCTTATGTTAATTGAGAGATAACCACCTGTCAGTGACCTTGCAGGGAGGTCTAATCCCTCCATGCCAAACTAGTGCAGATGGGCTTTAAGTATACAAGTAGTAATACTTATACAGGCTACACAGGCTGTACATTATAATTGTGCATTATATTTTTATTATAATTATAATGATTAAAGGATATTAAAGTAAATATGTAAAATTAAGGTTAATGAAAAAATATATAAGTGTTCTGACAAATATTTGCTAGTTTAGGATCATATTTAATAAATTATGCATGGCGCATGCAAGTCTTGATTAATTTTACTGCTATCTCTGGTATTTATAGACAAAATATGGGCTTACCGTTATCTTTCTATACTTGAATTTTACATTTGATTCATGAATTGTGAAGAATAATGTATTATCAACATTCTGACTGACTAGTCCTCTGGCAATTTCTTGGTCAATGTCAGATTGTGGTAACAAAGACAGTCCCCTCAAAGTACACCAAAATAAACTTCTACAAGGAAAGCTTGAGCAGCAGATATTGTTTGATACAGGTCCCTAGCTTTAACGTGAACTGGTAATATTGATAAAGGTTGATGAACAAAATGGTTAATTTTTGTATGAAATGTTACTCATTATATTCCTTCTACTGTACTAACCCTTTAACTTGCAACAAATCCTGAAAAAATTCTTAAACCACAAAGATAT